ATTATTTTACGAAGATGGCAGGAGGGAAGTCTTCTCCGCCTTCCCTGAGCTCCCAGCCTGGGAGGCCTGGCGAGGATACTGCAGCCATTCTCTCCCACTTGCTCCATTTCTCTGGTGGGAGACCACGCGGTCTCAATAGCTCGGGGTGACTTTGAGTGACTGGCTGCATGAGTCAAGGCCTCGACTGGGGGTAAAGAGATTTGGCCTCTGGGCCTCCCAATTCAACTTTACTAGAAGTCTCACATTCAACTGGTGGTTTGTGTCTATTTCCCATGTGGTTAGAACCCAAAGAGGAGAATGGGTGTAATTTGAACCTCCAAAACCCCAACAGATGGCTCTGCAATACCTCTCCTTATCTCAAAGCAGCTCAGGCAAAAAGAAATGGCTTCTGAATTTAAAGCCAAACACAGCCATTAAGGAAAAGCAGAAACTTGCCTCTCTTGGAAGGCAAAATAACGTATTCTATTTTCATCAATGCATTTGGGATATTTCTGTGGTAATTCACATCATGAAAGAGGAAATGCCATCTTAATTTCCTTAGCAGGTTTTCTGTAGCAAAGTATCATAGTGACTTTACCGTAGCAGCAGATCACAAAGCCAAATCCTTTGTGTTCACCAACACCAGCAATACAAGTAACATGAGCCCAAAGTAACAGGAAAAACCAAGTAAAAGAAAGTAATTCTTGACGTTGACCTCGAACTTGGCAAACTAAGAATTTCCCTCAGAAGTCACGAAAATGATTTTAAAGTCAGAGTTAGGTGCAGATGCTAGTGATATTTTCACTGATGCTAGAAATGCTGAACGGAAGGGGTCACATCACTTCCAGTTTATACTTTGTTGGGGATTTAAACCTCTTCATTTCCGTGTGTGTGTTTATGTGTTTGTATGTGTATGCCTTTTCTATAGCCAACACTCCACTAGGATAACTTAAAATAGGAATTTATTTACAATAGCAAAGATGTCCAAAATAACGGAAACAATATATAACAAATCCAAGAATTATTTTATGAAAAAGGCAAACAATATATACATGAAAGATAAAACAAAATCCAAAAGGGCAAACTTAATTTTGACTTGATCGAAACAGCTGCAGAATGTGGCAAAATGGTTTTTCAGATATGAATTAGTAAGTAATGATGGGCCAATTAAACACTCTTTCCAGCTTTTCTCTTTTACTTGCTGAATCTTCCTCTGAATTCTATTAACCTTTGAGGAGTCTCACTTCGGGGAGGCCACACGAGATTTATGAAATACAGAGGCTACTTACATGTGTACTAAAAAGGATACACTGTCTGGAGGGCTCACACTTTGAAAAAGGTAAACCAAAGGTGTCAACTAAGTCCCATTTCACCCTCACTGCTTATTGCTGGGGTGGTGTGAGAGAGAGAGATTTTCTTGTCTACTACACAAAATGTTGCACCAGTGATCTTTTCGGTTCCTCAGGTGCTCTGAAAGGGTTTCCCAAACTTGAGCATGCATCAGAATCACCTGGAGGACAGGTCAAGACACAGATCACCGGGTCTCGTGCCGTTTCCCGATTCGGTGGGTGTGACGTGCAACCACGAAATTTGATCTTTAACAAAGTTCCAGGTGGTTATGCTGCTGCCACTGTTGCCAGACCACACTTTGAAAACCACTGCTCTAAAATATCACCCCTTTAAGATTTTGACCAGTCCCGCTTTTCCTTTATGAATCCTAGAACTGGTGGGCAACAAAATTGTTAATGCGGAGATTCCCAGAGAACAGAGCAGTACATTACCTGACTGCCTGGTCTCTGACCGGTAAGATGCTATCTACCAGGCATTCTGGTATGACGAAGTGTTTCACACGCTACGGTTTTGTGTGGTTCGTGGCTCTGGACAGTGACACTCACCGTGTTCTCTTGACCACTGACCCCAAATTTTGATTATTTACTGTTTCAACTATTAGGCAAACACTTGTTCCTACGCAGTTGAAGAGCTTGAAGGATCTCATCTTTAAAACTCAAAGATGGCTCAAATCGATCTGTTACTCTCTTTTGACTCCTGGTCACTTTCACCTAACTTCTGATTTTTCTAACGGTGGCCACTCTCTAGCATGTTAGCGTCTACGAACGAAAGCCTGGCACAAAGGTGTCACTCTAGGGCAGGGCTTCTGCTGTGGAGGCGGGGACAACACCCAGTAATTAAGTGTGCTGTGCAGGATACTGAAATGAACTTTAAGTGCTCTCATAAACCATTTATGCAGGGCAAATTCGTCTCAGGGGAACTGGAGAGGCTAATGAAACAAATCCCTTGTGAAGATAAAAGAAAAAAAAATGAACTTCAAGGACATGCTCATCAAAGGACTCACCAATCATCTCTTAAGTTCCCTGATATATTACTAGCAAATTCGCGGGGCTGAACTATGAGGAGTATTTGCATCAAGTCACAAAATTCAAAGCAATCAAGCATTTTGCAATCCACTGCTGCATAAAAGGAATTAAGAAATGGGGAAATGAAAATAATCCACTGCTTTTGATGTTTATTAGGTTTACAAAAACTGTACATTTTTTTCCTTAAGAAAAAGCATTAACTTAGTACTGGTATCAAATAGACTAAACATCCATTAACAGGAAAATATTCTGATTTTTATTTTTGCACGTTATTCTCAAGTACACAATTACAATAATGTCACACATCCCTATATGATTTTCTTTTTATGTATTTTACTTTTTTTTTTACAAAGTGTACAGAGGGAGGGACATACAATATTTAATAGGATATTTCTACAGAACAATAACTTATATTATGTCCTTGTAAAAATCTGTACCTCTTTAAAACATTTAACTGAAACATCCATTTTTTTTAGCTTTGCTAATCAAAATTGTTTTAAGAATTAAAACTAGGTTGTAACTAATGTCAGTACATAACAGTGACTACAATTTCATTTTCTCTTTATACAGACAAATACATTTTATCATATTCACTTGACCAAACCCTTAAATACCTTTTAAAGGTTTCAATATTGTGCTTTAAAAAGAAAATAACTGTGTATGATTCCAGACTATGTAAGAGAAATATAAAGTGTGTAGAGTGTTGTGTTCTTTATCTTTCAGTTTATTTAAAAAAATATAGTTAAATGACCAATTATTTATATTTTCTGTACTAATTTTACAGCATGTTTTAAGGTTAATAAATTTCCACTTTCATTTAAGTGTCTTCTTTTACATGATTTCTGGGGGAAAAAATGAAGATTTTTAAAGGTTCTCACAAAAAAACAGACAGAGCTTTCAAGGATAGTACTGCGGGGCAATGAATCACACAATTGTAAGTTACTTTTAAAAAAAAAGCATGTATGTGAGCCAAGAGGGCACAGGAGCTCCCACTGGGATAGGCCCATGCCTTGGCTTTAACTGGCATTCAGGTTGGAGTTCATACCAGCCTAAAGCACTTGATTTACAACTGGACGAAATCAATCTAGCATTTCAGAGGCTTGCCAACCACCAAATATTTAGATTTCTAACCCTATAAATATAATTCTTGAATACAAATATCAATGGCAAAGAGAAAGATGAAAGGTCAAAACCTAACAGCACAAAGGGGATGGAGCACCATAATGAAGTGGCAAGGCAGCTATCCAGTGGGAAGAAAATTCCTAAATCTCCTACGACATGCCAGATACTCATATGCTGACAGCCAATTTAAAGGACCCCAAAAACTGTTTTCTTTTCCAAGATCCCTCTTAACATAATCAAATTCTAATTAACCGAGTTCATTTTATGCATTTCTGACTCTGATTCAGAACTGTTTGTTTAAAAAATGTCGGCTCTCAAAGGCAGACAAAACTGTGAAAGACTTGGTGATGTTCCAAATAAGGCCTCAGATTTTCCTCATGCACTTAAACACACCTTTATCTTCTAACCAAAGCCAAGCTGAGCGTTCAGTTTTTTAATGTTTGCTAACTGTAACTAAGAAATAAAAGAGCAGGCTGGACCCGCCCAGTGTAAGTCATAATTAGCACCCAATCTCTGGGACATGGAGCTGTGGTTTCCTTAATCCCCCTCACTGGGTGACGCAGAGCTCCCTCATGGGCTTCTCAGAGAGAACTGAGGGAGTTATGTCCGGATACTCATTAGCTTTTCAGAAAAATATAAAGGCATGGAGCTGAAGTTGTATGAAAACATTCTATCTAGAAACATCTTAACGTCTATTTTTTCAATTACCAAAGATATTTAAAAGAAAATACCTTTACTCTTTAAAAATACTAGTGTCCTTATTTTCCTTCTAATTCTTCACCTGAGTAGTCTCTCTGAAGAGCATGATTTACAAAATGCTCTCATGCATCCCTGCATCTTTCATGTTATTGTAAATTTAATACTTTTCATTATAGATCTTAACTACTACTGGGGTTGTGTGTATAAATATGTAAAATAAGCAATACACACAGATACATGTTCTCTATATATGTGCATATATATAATTCAGGGTACATTTACATATATAAAGTCGCAAAAGATCCTACGAGCCACGAATTACCTCTAGGAGATTCCAAAATGCAGTCCTCAATAATCGCATTTGTAGCACACAACCATTCCAAGACAAAGCAGCACAGACGGAATAATCAAAATACAACAGCATCAAGCAAAATTTGTCAAGGAAGTTTTCTAAAAGTTTGCTATGCTGACAAAAGATGTAAATACGCCAAAGAAAGCCCACAAAGAAGTATAGTTTGTCTGCTAAACAAAACGAAAAGTAAACACGAACCCAGCCACTGTTCTTTCCTCAGCGATGCCAGGGACGCAAAAGCTCAAATGGAAACTGTCATTGTCATGTGGTCTGAAAATAGTAAGCGAGACAAGTAAATGACTTCTATGTTAGGATAATTAGACCTGACTGTAAAATCTCCCATTTATGTTAGTAGATGTCTCTGACAATTTTATTGTGAGAATTTTATGGGAAAAAAAAAATGAGTCAACATGAATCTTTTCAGAGTTATCAATCTAAAGTTACCTTAACTTTAAGTTAAATGGTCTTAGAAGAGTACCATCAAGGTAAGCAAGGTAAATATTTAAATAAATATAAAACTTCTAAGATAGAAAAATTCAGTATAGAATCAGGGATTACTTTATTAAAAGCAACTTACTTGTTGCTGCTTTCCCCCATTTATTAAACAAACTGAATAGAATTCAGAACACACTATTAAACAAAATGTAAAAAAAAAAAAACCCAACTCAACTAGAAGCAATAATTCTATTTGTACACAGCATAAATCAATATACAGTATTGTTATGTGAACGAGATGGATTGGCTTTAAAATGAAATTTCCGCTTCAAGGCCAACATCTCCACAAATGTCTGTAGCAGTATCGTCAGGGCAGGCCCACTTCTTTATGGTGTCGCATTATGTGCTGGTTCTTTTCGGAAGGTCTCCGGAAGCCTTTCTTGCAGTACTCACACCGGTGAGGGTAGTCTTTCGTATGAATGGAGATAACGTGCCGTTTAAAGCCGGACGCATCTGTAGTGCTATACTCACAGTACTCACACTGATACACCTTCCTGCCACTGTGGGTCTTCATATGCTTTTTAAGCTCATTCTGTTGCCTAAATCCCTTTCTACATCTCTTACACCTAAACGGAAGATCTTTTGTGTGAACGGAGAGGATATGGCGACTCAGAACAAATGGATCTGCGATCTTAAAGTCACAATGTCGACACTGGTGCATTTTTTTACCCTTGTGGGCAGCCACGTGTTTCTTGAGTTCGGAAGGCCTGTGAAAGCCTTTCTCACACATGTCACACTTATGGGGGTAGTCCTTCGTGTGAACCGAAATTATGTGTCGTTTCAAATCGCTTGAGTTCGAGCTCTTGTGGTCGCAGTGCAAACACTGGTGTGTTTTGCTTTCTTGGTGGATAAGAGCATGTTGCTGCACCTCTTTGGTATCTGAGAAAGTCAGAAGACAGATGTCACACTTGAATGGCATCTCTTTACTATGCTTAGTTTTTACATGTGTTTTCAAGTTAGAAGAGTCTGCAGACCTATATTCGCAGTACTGGCACTGGTACGGCTTCTCCCCGGTATGGATGCGCATGTGCTTTTTGAGCTCTGACGGGTGACGAAAACCTTTCCCGCACTCCACACAAATGTGAGGAAAGTTCTTGCTGTGGACCGCCAAAAGGTGGCGATTCAATAACCCTTGTTCAGCTGTCTCGTATTCACAGAATTTACACTTGTGCATTTTGTTGGCTCCTTTTTCCTTATGCACCATTTTGTGAGTAAACAAAGCCCCAGCATGAGAGAAATGCTTCCCACACTCGTCGCATTCGATGGCCTTCTCTGCCTTGCTGGTCAGCTTGTGGCTCTCCAGGTGGTTGTGTAAACTTATCTTCTTGTTGGTAGTGTAATCACAGTCTGTACAGCGGTACTTCTTCTTGGTAAGGTGTTCAGGATGGTTTTTCATGTGCCTTTTCAAAAAACCTCTCGACTTAAATTTTTTCCCACAAATCATGCAAGGATAGACAGTCAAGGGATGTCCATCAGGGCCAATAATTATTGCTAGGAAAGGAAAAGAAAGGTGCATGAGTGATCAAACCAAGTTCCATTTTGGTTTCTGCAAGCATTTAAAGTGTGTGTTCTGAACATTATTAGGGAAGTATTCCCACGTTAAGCTATTTGCTACGTGACATTCCTTTTACCACTTTTCAGTATAAGAGATAGAGCAACCCTGTCATAAAAAGAACCCTGGTCTGAAAACTTCATTCAGTCTGATTGTACCAACCTCAGTCCCTCCAGTTTAAAAAATCAATCAATATGTAACTTCCGCCAACTAGTGATCAAAGGTCTATCAGTTTAGAAATCGGTAGAAAATTCTTCATAAAAACAAAGTTTTGTAATCACAATTCCTGCTTTGGTTATTCTGAAAAACCTAATTTTGTGTCACTTTACAGTAAAGCTTAAATCCACCTACAAAAATTTTAATATGCAAATCGCCATCCACGAATAGACAGGAACAGGGTCACGTAAACTGAAGTACTTGTCCTGCTGCTCTGGAAATTATGCCTGCCTTAAGGTAACATAATCTGATTCTTTGCATTAATTTAGTTTTTAAAACAGTTAACGCTTGTAACGTGTCTGAGGGATTTCTTTTCATTTACACCTAAAAACCACCTGAGTTTTGAAATTTTTTCCCCCATCCACGTTTGATCCATTCCCTGTTTCTTTTTATCCCAGGAAATCATTCATGAATATCACTGAATTCTTAAAATTATATTTTCAAATTCCATACACAAAAGCTTACATGTGGTCTAGCAGCTAAAATGCCATCACAACACCTCCGTGGATACATACTAGAGTTCCATCTGAGAGCTTGCCAAGCACGCTGCGCTGTGGGACTCATGTGCCCTCACCTGTTTGGTACTGCCTGGAATCAGGTCTTCTCCTTTTCTTTGGTTTTTGTTTAGCCAGTCTGCCGAGCCCAGCAGACTCATCTATGTGCAAGAGGGCACTTGCAGTGCCATTCCGGGTTTCAATTCCATCAGAATTATTACCTAACAATGCGCATTAAAAAACAAAATTATACAGTATTATAAATTATAAAAAATTAGGGATTCTTTATTAACTATAACAACGAAAAGTAAGCCATGATACTCATGAATGACAGAAAGTCCCCATTCTAGGTAATGGGTTTTAGGACCACATTTATTATAGTGAGACGGTAGGAAATGCCTCGCTTCCAAATCTAAAAAACACATGTCAGCATTTTGCCCCTTGAACTCCCATGCTGTCTCCCCAAATTGTAAAGTCATGGGCCAGATACAATCAAGATGAAAAGTTTCAGCTTGAAAGCCTGCATACTTCTTGCGGTACTTCCTTCTACGTAATATACACATGAAGGAAATTCCTGTTATAAGTAAAGACAAAAGGTAGACTTTATCATCTTCCTCTCTTCTTGTTCAAATCAAGTAACCCTTACAGGGTAGTGGTGTTTCCTATTTCGGAAACCTAAGGCCACAGACACCGTTTCCAGTCATGAATTCATGTGCGCAAGCCAACTCCGTTCGAAGAGCCGCCACATGACTTACCGTAAGCTGCTGCCCATGCGATTGGCATGAAGGTTTTGATTTCATTGTCGTCGATCTGCTGATCGTGCGCCGCGGCGGCAGCTGCCGCCGCTGCCGCATCCTCCTCCCCTACGATCACCTCCATATAAACTTCATCGGCAATTTCCGCGACATCTAAGTAGGAAATTATATCAAATTTTGTGACCAGGTTTACAGAGATCACAGGAAAGACATTTTTATTTGAATTCAGTTAGCAGACAAGTAGAAGGAAGGTTCAAGTGTTACACACCTAGAACACAGCTTTCACAGAGTCCTAAGCAGGCAATGAATATTTGTTGAACGAATCATTCATTTCTTGGCTTTCATCTCAACTTGTTTTTAAAGCAACATTCTATGCATCCATAACAGGTTACCGAGACTGCCCTTGGAACACGGCAGCATAACAATCTCTACGATAATGCTACTTGTTTTCCTTCAAATACTGACCATAGTTAAAAAGAGAGCTACAGAAACACAAAACTTTCTCCCACAAAAAGGCCACCTACTTACTTAAATCTTCATCTTCTTGCTGAGAGTCGTTGACAGTCATATAAACCATCTTTTCCCTTGGCACACGAATACTGCTATTCTGATCAAGTAATTCAACTCCATGGTCATTCTCAGGCTCACTCTCCACAATGTCTACGGTGCCACCTATCAGGGAAGATGACAGCTCCGAGAATTTATCTGAAAACTTCATTTCCACCCATCTGACTTAACACATGTCATATATTTTTCTACTGCTACATGGAAATCCTTGTTTAAAAGTTATCTTCAGAAAAGATTTCAAAGGTCCGCAATCTAAACCACCCAAAAGAAATCAGGTTGAAGTGTCTCATCAGGATGCATACTATGCCGAAGCTTTCCTCTTACCTAAGTCATCCTCTCCAGGGTCAGCTTTAAAAATGTACACCTTGATGACTTCAGGGCAAGTGCCATCCACTTTACAAGGATCGATTTCCGACTCTGCATCCATGGTCATTCCAGAGGAACCATCGTGTTCTATTTTGCCAGCATCATCCACTGAAAAGGCAGGAAATACATTACAAATAACACTAGCAGATACTTAAATAAAATGTTACTGTTTTGCAAAGTCCTTTGTACAAATATCATCCCTAACAGGATTCGAACAAAATAGGATGATTTTACCTAGACCCGTGGACACGCAGAGCACGGTGGGAAATGTGGCTGACTGCTAGGCCAAAGCAGGGGTCATGGAGGGCCTTGTGCAACCAGGCAGAGGGGTTCAGACTTGACAATGGTAGGTCAGGGGTTTCTCAATCTGGTCAGGTGTCAATATCTCTTAAGGAACTAAAGAACACAGGCCCCAGCCCAGCAGCACTACAGAATTAGAATCTGTAGGGGTGAAGCCAGATATGTGGAGCGATTTAGAGATTCCAGAGCAGTGAGAATGGCAGATCACTGTGTTCGCTAACACCAGGACCTAAGAGTCAAAACTGAACATGACAAAGGAGCCAGGGATAACTATGGGGTTTCTGATTTAGGTGACCGAGTGACGGGGGGAAGAAATATTAATCAGAGAAATGAGGAAAAGGCTCTCTCTTCCTGCATGGTTAATTAATTTAAGGTCTGAGAGGTAACATCCCTAAAAGCTCTCAGACCGGTGCCTGTCCCCATTCTTTTATATTCACAGCACCCTTTGCTTGTTTCTCTCCGAGTATACGATTCATTGTATTGTCACTATCAGGGACTTTCCCCCATCTTTCCCACTGATAGAGCAGAACCTGTCATTTTATTAGTCTTTTAAGACAAGAGTCTGGTGATGGTAGATGCTCAGAATATTGATGAGCCAATGACTCAATGAATGAGATGTAAAGACAGTTGCTGGATATTTGAGTCTGAAAGCTGAAGGCTGACACACAGATTTGGGAACCAACAGCTCTGTGCTAACTAGCCCTGAGATCACACAGTGAGGACCTGCAGTGTGAGGTAAGAGTGTGCTATGGATATCTTGGGGAACATCACAGTTTAAGGGAGGGACAAGAAGAGTTCACAAAGGAACCCAAGAAGGGAAAGCTGGAGAGGCTGGTGGAGGATCGTGAAGGAAGCGAGGGAGTTATAAATTCCAAGAAGCCTGGTAAGGTCCACAGCAATAATGCAGCACACACCCTAGTCACGGAGGAATGTGTGTACGGACTGTAATAACCTGGAAGTCACTGACGCTCCTGGTGAAAAGCAGTGTAGTAAAGGCTATATGGGGTCAGATTAAAGTGGGGTGAGGATTCAATGGAAGGTGTGCGTTTCTTCAAGAAGTCTAATTTTAAAATGGAGAACAAAGGGGCAGTAACTAGAATGGGATAGAGGGTCAAGGACTTTTCTGTTTAACTGATAAGAACACTCAAGCATATTCAGTCTGTGGGAGCAAATACAACAGACGGGAAGAAGCTGAAGCCAGAGGACACGGGAAAACTTCTGGATCAAGATCTCAGAGGAAAAGGGGAAGATGAAATTAGAGGCAAAGATGAAGAAATTCTCCTTAGACAGCGGGAGCAATATGCGATCCTTCTGAGACTTGAAGTGGTAAACATGGATGCAAACAGAGCTACATTGTGTTAAGGAGGAAGGCTGTAATGCTGGGAGCTGGAGAATTTCGTGGCTGGTGGCTTCAACCGTGGGTATGAAACCAGAAGCAAGGGCTTTGGTTACCAGGGAGAAAATGGCAAACTGGGTGAAGAGCTTAAGAAGCTGGAGAAAATGAGCTGATCCAGGACAAGCTTCATGATATGCAGGTTCAAAGAGACCAGCTGGTTAAACTCTTTGCGGTCTGAGAAAACAAAGAGAGGTTCCCTGAACTCCGCACATAACTACCTAAATTCAAGGATCTTGACTATGCTTTTTATAAAAATGATTTGTAAGGGGAAAGAATTGGCATTAGGTCCTTATTTCTGGCCTGATGTGTACTTAACCCTTTTCAAAGCTAAATATTTTTATGACATACAAAGCTGACTGAGCCAAGGCTATTTTCTTAAAGGTAGCTCTGCAATTTCCAAGTGAGGTAGCGATAACAAGGATGAAGAGCCCCCCAAACTAGCTGGAGAGACCTGACTAAACCTGCTACGTCTTCAGAACACTCATCTCTGAGCAGTTAGATCTTGTTGATGAAGCTTGCCCTTTTTTGGCAAGGTTTGGCAAAACTGATTCTAACAGGTACTGGAAAATCAAATGTCCTCGTGTTTACAAAGAACAAGGTCAGGCTAGCTGTTTTGGCATATTTTAGCTTGTTGGTACTCATAAGATAAAGCCTTTGATGACTGAAAAATCTAATCATTTTGGAGCTCGCAAAATGGCATGTATTTATCTGTAATTTGGAGGAAAAGACCTTTCTGTTTGCTTTCATAAGTGTGTGGGGAAAACACATTTCAAATAAACAGGCTCACCTGAGCCAAGCAAAGCTATTCTCTTATTAGACAAAAGTAGAATTCACCTTGAGAATTTGCCCCACTAACTCAACTTATGAAATTACTCTGAATATGAAAAATTACAGAAGTGATTTTTTAAAAAAAAACCCACTTTGATGGTCCTGTTAAGGACTCAAAATTTCTCTGTGATTTTAAAGCTACCATAAAAATGAATTTCTAAAAACAAAGAAGGCTTGGATAAAACTGAGTAATCATACCTATGATTTCCGCCTAAGTGCCTTCTTCTAATGTAGTGATGAAGAGCTAGAGCTCTGGAACAAGGCCTCTCCAAAAATAGAAGAGCATAATTTCTGGAAATTAAGACTACTTCTAATAATAACTACCATTTGCATGGCATTCTGCTATTTCCTTATCATTTCTATGTACTTTAATTTTATTTGATCCTTACCTTTTCCAGATAAAGAAATAAAGGCTCTGAGATGGTATGTGCCTTGCCCAAAGTCAGTGAACTAATGAGTGAGCGATGGGAGAGAGAAGAGGTGCCTGTCTTTAGAACCCAGACCTTTATTTTCAACTTCTGATTTTTTAAGAAATGTATGTTTACTGTATACAATTTAGAATTAAAAAAAAAATCACCAATAGTCCCACCAACCAGAGATTCCATCATTATGTTAGGAAATTTTCTTCCCAGTTTTTTCTATTTGTGTTAAAAGTAAAATTGGCATCACAGTTTCCTCAAGCCTTACATAATAATAATCTTTGCAATTCATCCAGTATTTTATTTTTTTTACTTTTTTTTTTTTTTAAAGATTTTATTTATTTATTTATTTGACAGTGAGAGAGAGAGAGTACAAGCAGGGGGAGAAGGAGAGGGAGAAGCAGGCTTCCCGCTGAGCAGAGAGCCCGGCATGGGGCTCGATCCCTGGGATCATGACCTGAGCTGAAGGCAGACGCTTTACCGAATGAGCCACCCAGGCGCCCCTCATCCAGTATTTTAAACTTCAAAACTGAGAAACATTTGACTTATCGATGATCTCATTAGTAACAGCAAAACTATAGCGAAACATAGGCAATACTTTATACTGCTTGAAGGGAGCTTCAGTAAACTCTCCTAAAGACTAAAAATTGAGGGATACTTATTTGCAATGTTATAGATACCACGGTGTCTAAAAATATAGTTCATTAAGATCTCAAAAAAAAACCCAGTAGTTTCTGGAAAAGAAAAATTACTGGGGTGTGGGTGGGAAATACACCACTTCAAGTAAATTGGTTTTGGTTTTGGGTTTTTTTTTAAGAGAGAGAGGGAGAGCGTGCAAGCTCCTGCAGGGGTAGGGGCAGAGGGAGACGGAAAGAGAGAATCTTAATTAGGCTCCACACCCAGCGCGGAGCCCAACGCAAGGCCCAACACAGGGCTCCATCTCACAACCCTGAGAGCAGGACCTGAGCCAAAATCAAGGGTCAGTCGTCTAAATGACTGACCACCCAGGCACCCGTGTTTTTTCTTTACGTAGGCTCCACACACAGTGTGGAGCCCAACACAGGGCTTGAACTCACAACCCTGACATCAAGACCTGAGCTGAAATCAAGCGTTAGATGTTTAACTGAGCCACCCAGTGCCCCTCAAGTAAACTGTTAAACGAATGCTGATCTAATTAAAAGATCAGTAAAACTAAGCTGATGGAGAATCTATATAACAAGGATGGTGGTCATGATGGATAATGGTAACATTTACTGACCACATACCTCATGCCAAGCATGATAAGCCCTTAAAATGTAACCTCACAAAAACCTTATGACATAGGTAATATTGTTTTGTTATTCTCAATTAAGTTTCTAGACAAATTTTTATAATTTTTACCAAGACAAAAAAATATATGATATTGGATTGCAGTGGAATCGCATTTTGTACAAATTAACATCATAGGGGCGCCTGGGTGGTTCAGTCGTTAGGCGTCTGCCTTCGGCTCAGGTCATGATCCCAGGGTCCTGGGATCAAGCCCCACATCAGGCTCCCTGCTCCGCGGGAAGCCTGCTTCTCCCTCTCACACTCTCCCCCTGCTTGTGTTCCTTCTCTCGCTGTGTCTGTCTGTGTCTCTCGCTGTGTCTCTGTCAAATAAATAAATAAAATCTTTAAAAAAAACAAAAACAAATTAACATCATAGAAAGAAAAGATCTGTACCATTTGATCTCTCTCTTCCTACGTTTCCTACCAAATACCCCTAGACGTCAGCTTTCCTAAAACAAAGATCCAGTTGCCTAACTCTCTGGCTCAGAATGGTACCCCATTTCCTACCAAATAAAATACAAACTGCACAGTCTAGCAACCGACCTCTGACCAAAGTGCCTTCTGCCTTCAATCTTGTCTCCCCCATCAGGCCCTAGACTACCCTGTGTGCCCTGAACTTAAACAATACATTTTTATTTCTATTCCCTTATGCTTCTTGTATATAATTTGTTGTAGAAATTATACAGTTTACTGTTTAAGAAAAGTATTTTTTTAAGATTTTTATTTATTTGAGAGAGCGTGAGCAAGAGAGCACAAGCAGGTGGAGCAGCCCCTGACATGGGGGCTCAATCTCAGGACCCTGGGATCATGCCCTGAGCCGAAGGTAGCTGCTTAACTGAATGAGCCACCCAGGTCCC